TACTGAGATAAGTCTATAGGGGGGATTGTCCTCCTTTTTTTGCAGATAAGGTGTTCTTTGCTTCAGATTCTTTGCTATGGAGATGGTAGAATTTGCTTATACACATCTAGATGTGTATAAGAGACAGGTTCTGCACCAGCACTTCCGAGAAGACGGTGTGATGCGCGCGACGCCAAGACTCCGTGAAACGCGCGAATCCTAAAATTTTCAGGAGGTTGGGGGCTACTGGAAATTTTAGGACGATAATGGCTGGGGAATCCTAAATCTTTTAGGACTGGTCCTAAAGCCGTTTTCACATTTTCGATCTCGAAAATGGATTTAGGATTGCGTGCAACCAAGACGCAATCCTGAAAACAGGAATTTTTTTTTTTTTTTTTTTTTTTTTTTTTGGAAAGCTTAGGAATTTATTGCAAAAACAATTAATGGGAGGCCCGGAGTTATCCTGGCAGCCTTAGCCAGTTTCCCTTACGAGCTAAGCTCGACGTCCATAATTAGCTGATCAGATAATCTCTACTCCATCTACTGGAAAGTGGAAGGTAAAACAAACAGGAACTTTTAGGAGTGTCTAACGAGACCCTATGTAGTGAAAGGTAAAACAAACAGAAGTTGAGAGGCGCGCAGTGAGGTAGGGCGCCGGGAAAGCCGACAGCAGCTGACGAAAGTCGGGTGCGCGCCAGGTAACCGATCTCCGGTGTGGCAAGATTCGGTGGCATGGCATGCGGCGTCGCGACACCACTCGCCAAACGCCAACATTTGAATGTATGCGGTCCTGTTGTTGTCCCGATGCACTCAAAGTGTATAGTCCCAACGCATTCATTCACATTCAAAATGTTGGCGTTTTGCGAGTGGTGCGGCGAGGGTCAGGGAGGACTGATCCACCGAAAAAAGGGAAAGGGAAAAAAAAAGAAAAAAAAAGGGAAAGGAAAAGGAGTCATGCCAGTAGGACCTTTTCGACCGATTTGGGGGGGTAATTATGGTCAGATGCATGCAAGGCGGCTGGTAATTGGGGCCGCGTACATCCGCGAAAGTCTCAGTCAAAAAAAAAAAAAAAAAAAAAGTCTGAGCCAGAGGCGTACTGTTGACGCAACAAAGACCCCAGTGCGGTCCAGTCCCTGGTCCACCTAAGCCCTGAAGTGTTCCAGCAGCCGAAGCTGGGTAATGACCCCAGTGTGGTTACCTTTTTTGTGGGTTTTCCCGGCCCTTTCCTTTGAGGTTGAATCATTTCTTTTTTTTGTTTTGGGAAAAAAAGGAAAAAAAAAAAGAAATGATGCTGGTGGTCACCTTTTTTGTGGGTTTTCCCGGCCCTTTCCTGTTTGTTTAAGCCCCTTTCCGTTGAGTTTAGCCCCTTTCCTTTGAGTTTGAATCATTTCTCGATTTCTGCGTGTCATTGGGACTCGCTTCACGACTCCCGACACGCTGCACAAAAGACAAAAACGATGGAGGCGTATCTTTCCATGTTCTAGGGTAAGATTCATTCTCCTTTTGCACACACATGTCGAGAGTAGTGGAGCGAGGCCCATTCTTTTGCGCAGGGGCCATGCTAATCTTCTCTGGAGGGAAGGGGAGAGGGAGGAGTCCCTTTCCGAAGGACATTTCCTTTGAGTTTGAGCAATATAAACGTTGTATGGTTCTTTTCCTCCCGCCCCCTCCTCCCCCCAGCACACACACAAAAAAAAGGTAAAAAGAAGAAGTCGTTCCAGGTCTGGTTCCAGGTCCCGTTCCAGGTCCGGCTTCAGGTTCGGCTTCAGGTTCGGTTCTAGGTCAAGTCAGCCCTGGTCCAAGGTCCAGTGGCAAGGCCCACACCCAGTCCAACCCCCCGGTAATTGACAGGAGGCCGTGTGCTACAGTACTGTAGCGTGCTTTCCTCGTTAGCTCGGAAGTTGTGGAAGGTGTCGTTTGCGCACGAGCGCCACGGATGGAAGAGGGGAGGGGAGGGAAGGGGAGAGGGAGGAGATGGAGGTGGTGGAGGATATGGAGGGCGAGGTGCATGAGTGGACAAGCTAATAGCATGCCAGGTATCGAACTCTCGACGTCGCCCATGGCGCAATTGTACAGCGGGGCTAGAGAAACAGGACATAGGGTGGTGGCAGCTGCCGGTGATGACACGTGGCTTTAGAGCCAGCTGATCGGCGATGACCGATATAATTACCCGCTCGATCGATCGCGGTGCACTTCAACTAAATAACGTGTCGCTACGTAGGTGTGGTATGGTTCATTTCTCTCTCTCTCTCTCTCTCTCTCTCTCTCTCTCTCTCTCTGTGTGTCTGAGTGTTGTGTTTCGCAAATCAACCGTTTGCTTCGTGAAATTAGCCTCGAATATATCTCCTGCCGGCATCACGCACCACCGCCACCCCGGCCCCGCGGCCCCGCCCCCTGCTGCCCCTCCCCGCTCTCCCCGCCCCCGTCCAGAGAGGACATACCTGCACGTGATGAAGGAAATGCTGATTCTCCCTCTCTCTCTGTCTGTCCGCTCGTGTGTCTGTCGCC